TTACCTGCAGTTAGCATTTGCCACTTCTGCGGGACAATCAGCTCACTGTTATGACCAGCATCATTTACTAACTCATCCCAGAGGTGTGCAGAAAGCATTGCTGGTTGAAATGAAAGTTATATAGGTGTCTAAATGCAATTGATACGCAGTGGGATTCAATGTGTCTGTAGACAGGTGTCTACAGACACAGACTTTAAGCACTGGAAGGCACCAAAATATCATAGAATCATAGGATAGTTAGGGTTGGAAAGGACCTTAAGATCATCCAGTTCCAACCCCCCCCTGCCATGGGCAGGGACACCTCACACTAAATCATGTCACCTAAGGCTCTGTCCATATGGCAGAGATATCATCCAAGATGAAAAACAGGCTGGAGAAGACATAAAAATGACGTATTGGCTTACTGGCTTTTAAATACATTCAGCATGTAACCTGTAAGTGAAGAGTACACTATTACATTAGCCTTTAAATCCCCCAGTTGATGCTGGGGAGAAAGGAAGTGGTCAAAGGAATCTGAACAACTAAATATGTTTTGACTGTCATGTCATATAGCCCCAGGAAACCTGTCATTCCCTCAATCCCCCTCCTGAACAGAGAGGCTCTCAAGAGCTTGCATTATTGCTGCTTCTCAACTGATTGATTAGTTGTAGCTTCTGTGCAAGCCCTATTTGCTCTCTTCCAGGTTGCTCCCAAGGGGCTCAAACAGCAGGAGCATGAGGACAGCACAGAAATGTTGTCACACATGAATAGCACAAAGCTGCTATGCCCTGCCTCAGGGTGTGAGCCTGTGTGTACGCTCCTCAGCTCTGTTACAGTCAGTAAGGGTGCTTGTCTCTAACTGCACTGATATTGGGGATTGTGTAGTATTTCCAAGGACTTAACTAAAAGCAGTTGTACATGTTCTGGGCTGGAACTGGTTCCCCTCTGGGAATGAACATTAACTACTTAAGAACAGGAATCAGTTCATGGGTAAAACTGCACATACATTACAAGTGGCTGGTGGGAAATAAAGCACATGCAGGATGGAAAGTTGCTAAATAGAACCCCTGCAGTTTGAGCTTGCTTTCTATTAAATCACTGTGCTTATTAGAAGAGTATAGAACCACATTACAGACACAGAGAGAAACATACCCAGGACACTGAGGAAGAGATTAAGCATCAGTATCTGCAGTGGTGAGTAAACAAAAAAGGACTACACCCATTCCATTTACATTTAATGAATTGCACCTAAAAACCCCATTCCTATGAATTCTGGGGAATGTCTTGGCAGACTGCTCATTACTGAATTCATTTTGTATTCCAGCGGGTGTCAAGAGCTGTTCTGCAGAGTCCATGGTGGTTTGACATTGATGGACATTCACATGACAAGCTATGGCAGGAGTGGAAAGTCAAGTGCTTTCCAAAAAGGACCAGGTTTGCAAACAGCCCAGATTTTGACCTGCATCTTTCTAAATGGAATTATCTATTATAACCCTCCTACCTGGTCTGAGACTCTAACTCCTGCCTGCCATTGAGAGGTTTAGTCCTTACATAGGTTAAGTGATGAATATATATGCAGACAGCATGTAAGATTCTAGCCCATGGATAGTGCAATTCAGTCCTGTGTAATACTTAGTCTATCCTGCCAGCTGCATGATGACACGGGCTGGGAATCAGCCCTAAAGAGAGGATATGTGCCTATTAAAGCAATCTGAGCTCTAGCTTTCCATCACCTGTGTGTAATGACAATGTCATTACAGACAATACTCAGCTCAATATACTCTGTGTATCTGACTTTACCTGCAGTGGCTAAAGAGAACTGTAACAAGAGAGAGGATTTAAGGGCAAATCCACATTCCTTTCCCAAATTCCAGAGATCAGTCCAGAGAGATCTTTATTAACTGAGCAGCTCGCATGGATTCCTGCCTCTCACTGGCAAAAGGAGGCACAAGAAAGTGTTCTAACACTGATGGCTATGGTCAAAACCCATTTCAGAGAGCAGAAACCTTTGTGATTAGCCTTGTGCTCATCATTGCAGAACAGTCAGTGTAAAGTCTTAGGTTAATGAGTCTTAGGCTCATTCCCATAAAACTCTTGTGTTGAATTAGTCACAGGCATTTCAGTAGCAGTTGATGGTCTGGTAGGGCTAATTCCAGCTGCTAAGGCATTATACCATGGCGAAAGCAAAATAGAACAATCTGTGCTCGTCTCAGTACATTTCCCTTTCTATTTCTTTCATCTTTTAGCTCAAGTTCAAACAAGAATGTGTCAAAAACTAGCAGTGGCAGACCATGAACATTCCCCTTTGCTCAGCCAGCATCATGGATAGTCAAGCTTGGCACGAGTCCTCAGGCATAGGAGGCTTCCAAAAGAAACACTGGGGAATGGAGGAACATTACAGATGACATGGAAATTCCCATTATGGCTGGTTGGGGAACAGTCAGGTTCAAGCTCCTGCATTTCATTGCTTTTCTCTGTTATTTCCTTTCTTATCTTTTGCCTCTCATACTGATGTTCTTCAGGAAATAGGCATGTCCTCTCAATCTCTTTAGCCCATGGAATAACAGGGCTGTGGTTTCAAGCAGTAACAGTAGGTAACAGTGGCCTACAACAGAGAACAAAGTTCTCTATATGATCTGAATTGGATTGCTTCCTTTCCTCCTGATTGCAGGTTCAGGTGACTTCCTGATGCTCTGAGCACCAGGCTGCAGATAAGGATGTCCCAACTCTCACTGTGTGAAACTTACTCGCAGGTTGGACCTAAAATCCACATTTTGCAGGTTTTCTTCTTGTTTTAAGAGTGAAAAAGATGATTTTGTCCCCATTCCTCTTAAGCTACTGTAGGCATCTGAGGGAGGTAATGAAATGCAGCAAGCTGGAGTAACAGGATTTGGTTTGGTCTAGATGCCATGGGGATGGGCTTTCCAAACTGCAAGCAGGGGTTAATCCCAGCAGCAGTTAAGGGGGAAATCATTCCACACCATAGCAAAGCCTGAGGGGAAACAGGAGAGCAGGAACCTCTTACAAGAAAGCTGAGAAATAAATCAATGAAGTGAGTGAAATGGAGTTTCCAAGACAAAGTGGGAAAGTGCAGAGGCCACAATAGCCTGGTACTATCTGTAAAGCACAGACCACCTTGTGCTGGGCATCGCCTACACATGGTGAGCTCCAGAACAGTGCCACAAACACGGATACCCATTCATGCTTTGCCATCTATGCAATTCCAGGCTGTGTGGCTCAGGTTAAACTACATGGCCTTTGTATCTGGGATGAGAGTTTTGCTTTTGCTGCTCCTGCCCCCCCCAGAATCCAGACCCCACAGCAGAGATGGTAATAGTCACCCCAGTATTATCACTGCAAGCTTTCTCCCTCCTCATATGGATAAAAGATAAAGGAAAAGATAGAGGAAAAGAATCTCAGGAATGACAGTGAGTGCTCCAGACCTTACTTACATCTCCACATCCAGAGCAAGAACAAAAGCACAGGGGCTCTGACTTGAACTGGAAAGAGTGTCCATACTCTCAGGACACCTATGGTCCCCATCCATAGGAACAGGTCACCAGAAGATCCCCTTTCATCTGAACTAAGCTTAAAAAGATAACAGATAGCTTGCCAGAGATCAGCATAACAAGAAGCTCATTGTGCTCTGAGCATACCAAGCATTTCTAGGTGTACTCAATAGGGCAAAAGCTAACAAGCATGCTTCAAAAAGAACATGCTCCAGGCTTCTTTTATCAGGCAATAGAAGCAAAAACCCCATCAAGTCGCAGACTGGTACCAGCTGAGGCAATGCAAGCAAATGACAAGGAAACCAGAAGGCAAAAAAACCTAAACCTAAGGACAGCAGGAAACCAGATCCCCACCCCCATACACACAACCCCACAGTAAATAGGAATCAAAGGCAGCCCAACAGCACTATGGCAATAAAGACAGAAAATAAATACAGCAATAAAATAGAAAAACTAATAGAAAAATAAAGTATTTGTAACACAGCTCCCAGAGAAGGGAAAAGCTGCTCCTGACCTGAGCTTAAAGACAGAGCTGGGGCCACTGGGGAAGGATGTGTGACTGGGGAGGCTCACTGGGGTGATGGGGACCTGTGGGGCACCCTAAAGACCAAGAGTTACCCCACACAGCATGGTCTTTGGTATCTGTGGCATCAGTTATGGGACTGTGGGGAGTTCACTCCTTTTACTTCTCATTAGAATGGGCAAATGATGGGCACAGGCTATGAACTGAACGTTTACTGCTTGATTTGCTACTGCCCTTGGCATCAATCCACATCAGCTGAAACCAGAAAGACCCATTTAAAGTAACACCTGTGGGAACAAGGGAGAAACATCTCCAGATTTCCCAGATCCCAGACCCATCCCAAGCACATCAAGGGCAGCACCAGGCTGGCACCATCTGCAGGCAGCAGCATGGGTGGCTGTAAGAAGCCAAGAGGTCACTGTGGGTTCTGTACAGGGACTGGAGCATCAACCTCACACCTGGATCAGGCATTTACAGAATCACCTGCAAAGCCAAGCACCTCCTTCCAAAGCTGGCTTTTCTGCTGGGAAAGAATGGATCCAGTCTGGGCAGGCAGGGCAAGGGGCCCAAATCCCACTCAACTCCAGATGGATTTCCAGTTCCTGTGGCTCTGAAGGGTTCAGGTTAGGTCTGGTTGGGTGATGGTGAGGGTTAATTTCCTGCTGGAAATCCATCTGGAGCGGGGTTGGGTGTTCATTGCTGCCTTGATTCCTCCCTCTGTTTCTCAAGGTGCTTTATGGACCGTGGCTGGGCAGGGAATGACCACGTCCAGCACTGAGTCAATGGGGTTCATGATAATGAAAATCACCGCCCTGAGACCCAAGCCCCATTGCCCACAGAGCTCCTTACTCATGGGCCGTGGAGCACATTGCTCTGCCCTGCTCCATCCAACGGGACTCCCGTGCTCTGCACAGCCCGGAATACCGGGATGCTCCCGCGCTGCTCCAGGGTACCCGAGAGACCGGACACAACAGCCCCAAGTCCCCCCGGCAGGGTCCTCCGAGCCGATAGGGGTCGCGGTGGTGCAGCGCCATTCCCTGCTGGCTGATTGGCTGGTGCCCGGTGAGCTCGCGATGTGACCCTGCGTCCGGCCCAGTATGGCCGCCGCTGTGGGGCTGCGGGGCTGGGGCCCGGTGAGTGTTCCCGTGTGTCGGTCCGTCCTCTGCGGGTCCCCTCTCTGTGTGTCCGGCCCTGTCCGAGCCCCCTCCTGGTGTTTCGGGTTCGGCTCCCTCCTTGTGTCCCCCGGTCGCGGTCGGTGCCTGTCCCCGGTAACGGCGTCGGTGAAGGCGCCTTCCTCCTCTCCATCCTCTTCCCCCCGTTTCCCCCTTCCCAGAGGCGTTTCTCAGGGATGTTTCCCCCCAGCTCCTGCTCCGAGGCAGCTCCTGGCGTAGCTTCAGCTCGCAGACGGACGGCGAGGCAAGGGTGAGCCGCGTCCTGCGGGAGAAGTTCCCCCGCGCCGCCGCCATCCGCGTCGTGGACATCTCGGGTACAGCCACAGCGCCTTGGTCCCCTCCGAACCGGCTGCGTGCTTGGGGGAGGAACCCCAAACAGGAGCAGGGACATGGTGGGGGGGGTACGGGGGACCCTCATTTGCTGCTGGCTGTGTGGTTGCAGGAGGCTGCGGGGCTATGTATGAGATTCACATCGAGTCGGAGGAGTTCAGGGAGAAGCGGACGGTGCAGCAGCACCAGATGGTGAACGAGGTGAGGGGCACTTGGGGGGGGTTGTGGGCACTGCACTGCAGGTGGGCACTCAGGTGTGTTGCCTGTACTCAAGCACCACAGTGCTTTGGTTGAGCACCACTGATCACATGCATGCAGCACAACTGCTGCGTGCCCTCCCAGTAAGAACCAGTGTGTCTCTGCCATTGTGTGGACAGCACTTGCAGAAGATGCTCTGCCTGTCACAGGGCACTGTGTGTATGTGTGTGCACACAGTCAGTGCTGCACTAAAGCACTGTGCACACACATAGTGCTGCCTGTGATATGCTGTGCCTGATGGTGCCTAACAGCATCACCCTTATTTCCCCCTTCCTTCCCAGTGAAGCTTTCCCTCTCAGTCCATAGTGTAGCTGTGTGCAGAGCACATGTGGCTGTGAACTGGAGCACACTTAAGTACCCAACTCAAGGTGTCACAGGTAGAGCACAGGCAGTATGAGGGTGAGGAGCTGCGCCTGCAGGCACTGAGTATCCAGAATGGAACCCCTTTATTTACCTCCCCTCAGTAACAACCAGTGTATCCCTTCCCTCACAGCTACAACAGTGTGTGTACAAGTGTGTGTACAATGTGCACAAGTGCTGTGTGTCACAGTGATACAAACAGGAGTCCTCCCTTTTTTCCCTCACAAATAGGTGGTAGGGCACTTACGTGTGCACAGCATGTCCCTGTTGGTGTTGTGAGGTTCCTACTCATTGTGAGTGCACAACACACAACATATACTGTGTGCAGGACTTTGCAACTCTTCCTTTCTTTAGGCATTAATAACCACCACAGTCCTTAACAGTGTGTGTAACCCCCTTAAGTGAGGGTGCTGCACTGCAGCTAACCCTTACACCTGGGCCTGCTGCTTACAGCATGTTGTGATGCTCTGAAGTGTGTGTACACAAGTGTTGGTGTTAACCAAAGGGCTGTGCACATGCACAGTGCCTAAAACAGACTGTGGAGCACTTGGTTGCTGTTTAGTGTAGTTAAGAGCAGCAGTTATGTACCTGGTGTGCAGTGCTCATACTCGCATTCACCAGAGAGTACCTGGGCAGTGTGCACACACACAAGCATTCTGACAGTAGTGTAATGCTCTCCCCTTGCACTGTGCACAAGCACTTCCCTCAGAGCTGCTGCTCCCCCTCAGCGTGGTGCTTGTGTCATTGCAGGCACTAAGTGAGGAGATCAAGAGCATGCACGGACTGCGAATCTTCACCTCCACCCCTAAACCCTGAGCAATAAAGGTGCTGCCTCCTTCCAGACATTTCCTGTCCCATTTTGTGCTGCCTCCTTCCAACTATCCCCATGGGCTGTGTTTTTAGTCAAGGCACCTGTGCACAGGGGCTGGGGGGTTCAAGGGAAAGAAGGAAGAGAAGGCACCCCCTCTTCCTCTGAAAGAATAGCAGGAAGGAGAAACTTTATTATTGCCTTGCCACACGGTGGGGTCTCTCCCTCAGCCCCCCACTGTGTGAACACCTTCAACCCAGGACCAGGCACTTTTCTTCCTTCCCCCCTGACACTGCTGCCAAAGGGGAGGTGAAGGCTCTGGGCCAAAGTGCACCTCCTCTGCAAAAATAAGCACTTCCAAAAATAAGCTGAGCCACTCCGGGCTTAGGCACAGAGGAAAACTTTACCTCTGGGAGGAGAAAGCAGCTGAGCAGCACTCGGAGCTTCACCCCATGCCTATGGGGAACCAAACCGGCTCCAAGTCCAGGTCCCATCTTCAACCAGAGCAGAGTCTTTGCTGGGCTTGTGCATACACAGCCTGGAGAACCATGTGGGCTGCAGAGGCTGGGGCTGCACAGCAGAAGCGTGGAAGTGGCTGGAGTATAAAGCAGAAAGGAGCAGCCAAAAAGGGTCCTCCCTGGAAAAGTCTTATCTGTCCTTGGAGCCCAGCTTCTCAATCAGTTCCTGCAGAGGAGCCAGCTCCCGCCTGTCAATCAAGTTGAATTCCTGGCAGGGAAAAAGCAACACAAAAACTAAAGGCTTCTGGAAAACACATCCCACTATGTGTGCTGGGAAGCTGCTGTGTCAGTGTGTGCCAGTGCCCAGGAGAACCTCAAACCAGCCTCTCATTTCTCTGCAGAGAAATTCAGGCATTTCAGAACAGAGTATTTTCTGCTGTCACCAAGCTTCTCAGCACAAGTCACACACGCAGTCACATGGAACAGGTTGTTGCAATACTGGCAAGGAAAAAGGGTGCCGCCACCATTTCTAAGTTAATTCTTGGAGCTACAAACCCACAAAGTTCTCCTCTGAGCCTGACTGCTTTTCCTGCAGGCTGACAGCTAAAACCCAAGAAGGAAATTCAAGCATTTACAGCCAGCTTGACCACGTTTCCTGCAAAAATACCCCAAAAATAAAACCCACAGACCTACGCTGCTGCAGCTGCATGGTTCACATGGCACAGAGGGTGGGAGCTGAGTGGCTCATACAGGGTACACCACAGATCCTTGAAGAGCAAAGAGGTGTTGAAATCCAACTCCCCTTAAAAGCGAGTGGGGGATGACAAACCCCAGAGAGCTCACTGTTTCACAACTCACCTGCACAAAGAAGATAAAGTGCTTGAAGGAGGTGTTGAGGTGGGCCTCCTCCTGCAGCCTCATGACGGAGTCGAAGTGCTGGTGATAGATGTGGGCATATACACGGAACAGCCGCTTCAGGATCGTCTTGGCCACTGACATGAAGTTCTTGGGAAAAGGGACTCCTGAATCATAGAATCAACCAGGTTGGAAAAGACCTTTAACTTCATCAAGTCCAACCATTCCCCACCACTGCCGAAGCCACCAGTAACCCATGGCACTGAGAGCCTCATCTTCAAAGCGTTCAAACACTTGCAGGGATGGTGACTGCAGCCCTGCCCTGGACAGCCTGTTCCAATGCCTGAGCACCCTTTGGGGAAGGAATTGCTCCTCATCTCCATCTAAACCTCCCCTGGTGCAGCTTGAGACCATTTCCTTTTGTCCCATCCCTTGTTCCTTGGGAGGAGAGTCAGACCCCACCTCACTACAACCTCCCGTCAGGCAGCTGTAGAGAGTGATAAGGTCCCTCCTGGGCCTTCTCCAGACTAAACCCCCCCAGGTTCCTCAGCCATTCCTCATCACACTTGGGCTCAAGGCCCTGCACCAGCTCCGTTGTCCTTCTCTGGACCCAGCTCCAGCACTTCAGTGTCTCCAAGAGCACAGGCGAGTCCTTCAGTTTGGTCAGGAGAACCACATCCAGACATTGCAGCAGTGAGGCCGCACTTACCTATCTTGGAGGGGAAGAGGGTTTCATCATCCAGCTGGTCCTGCACCCACGTCATCAAGTAATCGATGTACTTCGGGGCCGAGCACTTGATAGGCTTCTTGATGTTGGTGCCATCTGCCCAGTGGTACTCATACCTGTGGGGAGAGGGAAGGAACATCAATTCTCTGCTCAAGGAGAAATAAAACTGCATTTTCAGGCCCTGCAGCTTCCTCTTTATCCCAGTAAGGAGCAACGCAGCAATGCTAATGCTCCTCTAAAACAACAGAGCAGCACATTGAGTTTCTCGAGCACAACACGAGTGGAGTTAATGCCTCCATTGGGGCCACCCTTGGGGGTTTAACCCTCAAAAGTGAACTTCTACTTTGTGGCAACCTCCTCCATCAACATTTCCTTAAATTAAAACAAAAACTGGCCAAAAAGGAAGCATCAGGGCTGTTGCCCACCATTCAAATTAATTCATTGATGGCTTTCAGACAGCCTCCAGGAATTTGGTGCTCCTTCTCCCCTTCTCATGAGGTGGATGAGCTCTGCAAGAAACCCTCCCCAGGGCTGCATATTAGCCAAAGGCTTTCGGAAGCCAGCAGCTCAAATCAACATATGTGGTCATTGATCCCATGGCTCCTCCAAACCAGGGCTGATGTTGACTTGGCACAACCCACTTTCTCTGAGATCTTCTGCAAAATCCCTCAAAAGCAGGGAACCCTCCCCCTTGGTGTACTCAGTCTGTTGCCTCTTGACCAGCAACAGGCAAAACCAGAGCCATTTAAACAGGAAACTGTTACAGGAAACATCCCCCAGTATAGAAACAGGAACTTGCATCTAGATACTTGTGGGTAGAAAAGCAGGGCAGGATGTGACAGACTGATTCAACAAGGCAGATAATACCAGCTTTGATGCAGTATAGGGAAGATCCCAAAGACACTTGGCAGGTCCCTACCACATGTACCCGTCTCTATAAGCACTTCCTTGCTTAGAAAAGCCACACTCTGGTCTCTCAGAGCACCAGCTCTGTGAGCACTGACAGGTTACTTCAGTCTTTGACAGTGAGACCAGACACTTCCACTCAAGTCAGGTCTCACATTTTCTTTATGACAAACTATTTCAACAACCTTTTCAGCTTCTAAACACAGGGACCCAATCCACAAGCAATAAAAAAGATCCTCATGCATACTTCCCCTGGACAGATACTGACTGATGGCTACACACAGCCTCCCCAGCAGACAGCATGGGTTCACGTATGGGTAAATGACCCCAGGAGAGCATAGCACTGTACCTTGACCTGATCTGGGCACGTCCCATCCTCTTTCTAGCTTCCTTCTGTACATGTTTAAGTGACCCCTGCACCCATCTGCATAGAAACAACAGACCACAGGAAGCATCTCACCTTGGTCCTGCAGACATGACTGGGCAGCTTGCCTCTGTGCAGAACTCTGTGATGGTCCCATATAGCATGTTGATTTGGTTGAAGAAATCCACCGCTGGAAAGGAAACACATCAAGTTTACTCCAGGTGTGACACAAACCTGATGCAGTGCTGGATCACCCTCCTGCAGCCAACACAGCTTCTGAGGATCACTGTCATGGGCCCACAGAACTCCCAGCAAAAGCAAACATCCTCCTTCTGTATAATGTCACATCACTGATGACTTCCAAGACATTTGGACCATCTAGGAACTGGAATTGCTCTGTCAATTATTCACCCTCTGGCTGCCACCACTAACTGATTTGTGTGGCACAAAGCTCCATTGAGCCTGACATACCTCAGACTGCTTTAGGTTCCAGACACCTTTACAGTACCTCAAAAACCTGACTGATTTTTGATAATATGGGAGAGATCCTTCTGAGGTTGAATACTTGTGGCCTGACTTACTGTCTTCCATTGTTCAAAACTACCCTTTCCTCCTCCAGCCTCCAAAGAAACAATGTTCAAGGCCAGGAATAGCAACTGCTAAAAGCAAAATAAATGTGTAGCTTCTGGCTTTCTAAGCTATGCATACAGTAAAACTATAATGAAACTAGAATCATAGAATCACAGGATGGTTTGGGTTGAAAAGGACATTAAACTCATCTATTTCCAACACCCTGCCACTGGCAGGGACCCCTTCCACTGGAGCAGCTTGCTCCAAGCCCGTGTCCAACCTGGCCTTGAGCACTGCCAGGGATGGGGCAGCCACAGCTTCTCTGGGCACCCTGTGCCAGCGCCTCAGCACCCTCACAGGGAAGAGCTTCTGCCTTATCTCCAACCTGAACTTCCCTGTTTCATTTTGAACCCATCACCCCTTGTCCTGTCGCTCCAGTCCCTCCCTCTCCAGCATCCTTGTAGCCCTCTTCAGACACTGGAAGCTGCGGTCTCCACACAGCTTCTCTTCTCCAGGCTGAAGACCCCACATTTTCTTAGTTAGAAAACAAAGAAGAAACTCTACAAACCCAGAGTTCAGTGGAGAACACTGTTACACTTTTCCCCTGGATTATGTGCTGCCACTGCTTTCACAGTTGACAACACTAATTCCTAATTCCAACGAGTGACACTGGAGGGTTGCTGCCAAGTACAAAAATAACCATTCACATACCTCATCCCCTTGGCAAGTCTGAACTCAGAAAACCCCACCCCAAAACCACAACAGGGCAGGTCTGCACATCACTTTTTTCACCTTTACTTTCCTTTTATCCCAACTCAGTCACCTAAATAGAGCATGCCTGGGGGGGGAAACGTCATTCAGGGAACTTCAAGCTGCTTCTGAGCCTAAACCCCAGAGATTTTTGGGTTTCCCATTCACCTCCATGCTTGAGTGCATCCCTCTTTTGTAGCACTTACTGTTAACTGCAATCCACTCATTAAGGTCCTCGCCCTCCGGCAGCATAACTGCTTGTCTGAGGTTACCACTCCCCAGTGTGGCTTCCGCATGTTTCAGAAGCTCGTACTGATGGGAGCCTTCAGGGATGTTCTTCTTGGGCTTAAATGTTTTTGAAGACCGACTCCCACTGACAAGAGAGAAAACATTTCCAGTCAGTGCTTTGACAGCATTCCCTTCCCAGAAACATTTCCTGTATCACCCTCTGCTACCCAGCACTTCCAACCAGGGTGACACCAGCCCTTTCCCACTTTCCCCCAGCCCTACATGCCCACACACAAGCCATCCTCCTGCTTCCCTCTTTCACCTGCCCTTTTTAAAGGTGACAAATGTTGTATGCAAAGGCCCAAAGACTCATCAAGCAACAGTGGATCATGGAAATAAAAGCCCACGTAAAACTGGCAGAGAATGGAAGAACCTCCCGACCGGGTCAGTTTGACAGTGGCAAATATGAGATGTGCTGTAGGAAACAGCTTGCTAAAAATAGTGATTTAATAGACTCCAGCCCCAAAATGCAAAATCACCACCACGATCATCCTTCCCTGTGCTCAGTGGCTGTTTGTGTTCAGCACAGCACCACACTGAACCCCCACCCAGTCTCTCCCCACACAAAATGGAGTGAGTTTTGATACCTCTCAACCACAATACATTTAACTTCCAGCCCCCACCAGCTCTCTGCTTCCCAGTAGAAACAGGATGGCTCAGGGGAAACTGGCATTCCACCCCCATTGCATGTAGTGCTGGCACACGCCCCATGGGCTTCCTGGTGTAATGTTCTGCCCGTGCTTTACACACTGTTTACAACACTCAGTGCAGAAACAAGACCTCCAGATCCAGCTCACTCCTAAACCAAACCACTGCCTCCTGCTACTGCCAAAACACAGGCCACAGCACATCACCAACCCTAAAGCCTGAGAGGAGGGTCTCCAGCTCCTCCTTAAACCACAAAACACCCCCAGTTCTCACCCACATCCTAGCAGGCCTCAAGGAGCCCTCTCACATTTTACAAGCCTTCACATTCACACCACAGATCTGCAACAGGCCACCCTCTACAAATGGTTAAAGATGCATTTTGGACATCACATGCCTGCAGGGCTGCCAGCATCCCCCCTGCAACCACCTCACCTGACAGTGGGGCAGCCCCTCATACAAACACGAGCCAGCACCCTTTGACCACAGATGGAGGGTGAGGCCCATCTAAACCCCCACAGTGGCCCATCCCTGCAGACACCCCAACGCCTTCAGCACCTCCCCAAATTCCCATAGAAGACCAATCAATCTCAAATTCTCCCCACTTGGGAGAGATTAACTCTCAGAAGACAACCCCTCCCCAGAGCCCTCCCTCTAAGACTAAGCCCCAGAAGCTCCCTACCCCCTTATACACCCCCAAAGCCCTCCCCACCCTCCACGGCACTCACCTAACACCAGCACTCCTCAGGGTGCCAGCCTTCTGGGGTTACCATGTTCTCACTGCCAGCATCCCTTCACATCCCAGCCTGGAAACCTTCCCCTGCCTGGCACCTTCTCTTACCCCGTTCTTCCTCCCCACAAACAACTACAGCCCCAGGGCTCATCCTTCCCAGGACTACACTCCCCACGCCCAGAGTGTGTTCCAGCCCTGCCTCAAACATCCCAGGGACTCTCCAAAACCCCTTCCCAAGAGGAACAAAGCCCTCCTCAAGCCCCTCATGAGCCCCCAGGACCTCTGCCCAAAGCCACCCAAGGCTTCCTCCTAAAGCCTCCCTTAAGAGCCCTCCTGTGCCTCATCACAAAGCCTTAAAAATCATAAAATCACGGACTCGTTAGGGTTGGAAGGGACCTTAAAGCTCCTCCAGCTCCAACCCCTGCCACGGGCAGGGACACCTTCCACTGGAGCAGCTTGCTCCAAGCCCCTGTGTCCAACCTGGCCTTGAACACTACCAGGGATGGGGCAGCCACAGCTTCTCTGCACACCCTGTGCCAGCGCCTCAGCACCCTCACATAAATCACTTCTTCCTTATCTTCAACCTGAACTCCCCCTGTTTCAGTTTGAACCCATCACCCTTTGACCTATCCCTACAGTCTCTGATGAAGAGCCCTTCCTCAGCTCTTCGCCACCGCCGGGGCCTTCAACCCCCCAGACCCTTCCTGGAGGCCCAGGACTTCCCTCGGGGCCCCCAACACCCCTTGCCCCATGAACCCCTCAAGGCCTCCACTAAACCCTTCCTCCCCCTCAACCCCCTCACAGACATTACCCCCAAGGCCTCCCCAAGCGCTTCCTCCTCCAACACCACTCACAAACCAAGCCAGAATGCTCTCTCCCCACACATCCCCCCCAGCCCCTCAGAGGCCTACCCCACCAAATCCTCTCACCCAGCACCTCCCCAAAGCCCCTTCTCCCCCTCCAAGCCTCTCCCCGGTGCCCGGGTACTCACAAAAGGAAGCTCATGGCGAGGGGAGCCGCGGCCGAGGCCGGGCCGAGGTAAAAGAAGCGCCTGCGGCTGCTCTGCCGATCGGCCCCAGCACAACGCCCGCCCCGCTGCTAACTCTCGCGAGAGCTCAGCGACGGGGCGGGGCTTCACGCTGAAAGAGGGAGGAGCTTCTCCCGGCGCCATCACCATGGCAACAGCCCCGGGGTTGAGGTAGACGTGGGTCTGCCCTGGCTTCGAGCATCAGCCATGGGGCTGGGACTCCCCATGGACCTGCGATCCCCTCATATGTCTGGAGACCCCCAGAGCTCCCTTCTCATGGGCCAGGAGACCCCCAAAGCCCCCTTCTCATTGGCCTGGGTACATTCCCAATGTTCTGGGGACACCCCTATCAGCATGGAGACCCTTCCAGGGATTGGGGTCCCCCAGAACTCCCTTCACATTGGCCGGGAGACATCCCCATCAGCATGGGACCCCAAGAGCTCCTCTGCATGGGTCTGGGGAGCCACCCCATGGGCGTGGGGACTACCAGAGCCTCTTTCTCATGAGCCTGGAAAACTTCCATGAACCTGAGATCATTCTGAAGCTCCTCTGATTCAGTCTAGGCACCCCCAAAGATGCTTTCCTATGGGCCTGGGGCCCCAGGGCCTCCTCATGGGACTGGACACAACCCAATGGGCCTAGGGACCCCGCTATCAGCATGGACACACTTTCAGGGGCTGGGGTTCCCACAGAGTTCCCTCCAGGTTTCCTGCAGCCCCTTTAGGCACTGGAGCCCTCCTTCAGGAGCCTTCTCTTCTCCAGGCTGCCCCAGCCCAGCTCTCTCAGCCTGGCTCCAGAGCAGAGCCGCTCCAGCCCTCACAGCAGCTCCATGGCCTCCTCTGGCCTCGCTCCAACAGTTCCAGGTCCCTCTGGTGTTGTTGTTCCAGACACACGTTCCCACCTCTCCAGCCTGTCCAGGTCCAAATGGTCTCAACCCCAGCTCTGACTCCGATCCCGATGCCTATGCCTATCCCGATCCCGATCCCTGTCCCTGTCCCTGTCCCTGTCCCTGACCCTGTCCCTGTCCCTATCCCTATCCCTATCCCGACCCTGGACCACACTCCAGACCCAGCCCCTCGCCTTCTGCAACCCTCAGGCTCTCTTGCCCACTTGAGCCCAGCCAATGAGCGCCGCCGTGACCAATTAGAGCGGGGAAGCCCTGCCCACCCCACCAATCACACTCCTCCTTTCGCCCTTCCCACCTCTTTGCCGAGCGCCTCTCTCCCTCTCCCCCAATCACAGAGTGGAGCGTCCGCTCCTCCCGCCCCTTTCCCTCTCCTCGGCCACTCAGCTCTCTCCTCCGCGCCGCTCGCCGCGCTGATTGGCTCCCTCCGGCCGCGCTATATAAACCGGCGGGTTGCACAGGCAGTGCCACTACCACTCCCGGTCGCTCGGCGCCCGCTGCTGCCATGGCAACCGCGCTGTGCCCGCTCCGCGGCCTGGCGAGCTCCGCGCTCCGGCCCCGCGGCCGCCGCATTCACCTCAGCGCTCCCAGGTACGGCCCGACCCGGCCCGGGGTTGATGTGTGAGGAACCGGGACCCACCCGCCTCTTCCGCCCAGTCCCGGGGTGCGGAGGGATGAGGGAGGAGGGCCGCGGTTGCCCATCGCGGTCCCACATTGCCCACCGGGTGAGGATAGGGCCCCGTCTCGCCCCTGCCGGCACTGGAGGATGAATGAGGCGGCCCCCAGCGGCCGCGCGGAGCAGTGCAGGCTGATGAAATCCCGCTCCTGCCTTGCATAGGATGCTCAGGGCATCCATTCCCCGGGCAGGGGGGCACCTAGCGGGGTGCCTGGGGCCTCCCGGGACAGGGCTCACCCCGGGTGTACGGGGGGTGAGAGGGACCAGAGCCCCCCCGAGCACCCCGCCCGTGCCCCACCTCATCTTCCCCTCCGTGGGGTTTGATCTAATGCAGTGAAGCAGCCCTGGAGGGAGCTGCTCCCTGCTCTAAACACGGCTCCGACTTTGGCTTCCCTGGAGCTTTTGAGGGGAAGATGCTGCTCCCTACCCTCCGGGCAGCCCAGTCTCGGGGTTGTAGGAAAATACAGGCTCTTGGCATGAGGTGGTTCGGATATTGTGATTTCTCCTTGTGCTTGCCACAATAATTCCTTTTAGATGAGAGTAGACATGCATAAGAATTAGAGAGCCAGTGGGCTGTGCTGGCTTGGGATGGGGTTTTACTGGTTGCTGTTAGATAGGTTTGAGTGGATGATTGCTGTTAAGGATGAAATAATATTTAATTCCCTGTAAATGGGGAGAACTACATAGTTGCATAGGGCAGGGATTAAAAAAAGCACAAAGGATCATAGAATCCCAGACTGGTGTGGGTGTGAAAGGACCTTAAAGCTCCTCCAGCTCCAACCCCTGCCACGGGCAGGGACCCCTTCCACTGGACCAGCTTGCTCCAAGCCCCTGTGTCCAACCTGGCCTTGAGCACTGCCAGGGATGGGTCAGCCACAGCTTCTCTGGGCACCCTGTGCCAGCGCCTCAGCACCCTCACAGGGAAGAGCTTCTGCCTAAGAGCTCAACTCAGTCTCCCCTGTTCTGGCAGGTTCAAGCCATTCCCCTTGGCCTGTCCCTACAGGCCCTTGTCCCAAGCCCCTCTCCAGGTTTAGGCACTGGAGCTGCTCTAAGGTCTCCCCTTCAGGAGCCTTCTCTTCTCCAGGCTGCCCCAGCCCAGCTCTCTCAGCCTGGCTCCAGAGCAGAGCTGCTCCAGCCCTCGCAGCAGCTCCAGGTAGGCAGAACACTTCCCTGCTTCTCCTGTGGCTGTCCTGGAGCAGTTGTTGCAGTCAGTGGATCTCCCTGGTGGCAGCTGTCCCCAGAGCTCCAGGGTCAGCATTGTACCTAGAGAAGATCAGAAGACAGCAGCATTGAATTTAATGTGATGGATTTTTAAGGAGGTGATGTATTTTTAAGGAGAAACTGCAGCAATTTACTTGCTCCTGTTCGATGTTGTGTTGCTGGGAGGGTTGGAACCATGACTGGTGTGGTTGGGCTTTCCTCCCGTGGGTCAGTCGTCTCCTGGATTCCTGTGGCAAGCTAAATAGGTTGTAGTGCTGATGCATCTTGCTTGGGGATTGCCTCAGAAGTGATTCTTTGTGATTTGGGAAGGTCCCATGGATGGCATGGTAGCTTCCCAAATCACAAGGAATCACAGTAATGTTTCTGTGAGCATGTTTGCTCCAGCTCAGAGCTAAGAGCAATTGGGCAAGTGACTAATGTGCTTGGCATGAAGCCTTGCAAGGCAAGACATAAATATGAGGTCTGGAAGTGAAGCTTGTGAAGGCAAATCCTCTCACAAAGGGATTATTGGATGAGAATGATGCTCCAGTAAGAGTCACAGTGATAACCTAAAGAAAAAGAGCCAGGCATGAGCAGTCTGAGCAGCCTGTTGTGACAGGGACTGGCCCTCTATAGGTCAAGGCTTTCTATATCCTGCAGGGTGTCCAGATGCCTGGAATGTATTTGGCAGTGACTGGATATTCCTGTTTCTAATTTAGAAATGTATGTGAGGAACTGTTCTGATGTTGTTCAGGTGGGCAAATGTCCCTTCTACTTCAAACAGACACTGGAGTCGGTTGGAGGGGGTGAAACCAATGTACCCCAGCTCAGCTTTAACAGCCTGAAGATACAGCTTGAGAGGAGAGCGTGTGAGGTTAGCTGCAAGGTATGTGCTGTGCTAGATGATGAGACTTGCCAAGGAATCTGTGTGGGACAAGGATCCCATACAGAAGTACGGCACGCTGTGCCAATGCCAGAACTATTCCATAGACCTCTTCAGTGGGGGAAGCTCCACTGGAGTGAGTTCTGCTTTTTGTGAGTCCGTTGGAGTGAAGCTCTCATGCCTTCACAAGGAATGGGTGGCTGCCTTTCTAAAAATGGCAGCTGTGAGTATTTCAGCTTGAGACATGTGCCAGGAAAATGATGCACACAGAATCCAGCAGAGAAGAGTGTGTGTGCTCTTTCAGGCTGCACGAATAAGCTGATTCCTCTGGCAGCCTTGTTTGCTGAGCCCAGCTTTGGGCGTCTTTAAACTAAGGCTGAAATGTGCTGCTTGGCATTATTTAGCAAGAAGTTGCAAAAGGCTTGTACAGAGCTCAGGGAAACTTCACCCTGTGTCTAGCTCTGGGGCAGCAGCACAAGAGGGAGCTGGAGCTGATGGAGCGAGGCCAGAGGAGGCCATGGAGATGCTGCAAGGGCTGGAGCAGCTCTGCTCTGGAGCCAGGCTGAGAGAGCTGGGCTGGGTCAGCCTGGAGAAGAGAAGGCTCCTGAAGGGGAGACCTTAGAGCAGCTCCAGTGCCTAAAGGGGCTGCAGGAAACCTGGAGAGGGGCTTGGGACAAGGGCCTGTAGGGACAGGCCAAGGGGAATGGCTTGAACCTGCCCGAGGGGAGACTGAGCTGAGCTCTTAGGCAGAAGCTCTTCCCTGTGAGGGTGCTGAGGCGCTGGCACAGGGTGCCCAGAGAAGCTGTGGCTGCCCCATCCCTGGCAGTGTTCAAGGCCAGGTTGGACACAGGGGCTTGGAGCAAGCTGCTCCAGTGGAAGGTGTCCCTGCCCATGGCAGGGGTTGGAGCTGGATGAGTTTTAAGGTCCTTTCCAACCCAAACCAGTCTGGGATTCTGTTAAAAGAGCCTTTTTTGCCCTGACTTGCTGTTTGCATCTGTTTTTCTGGTCTGTGTTGCCCAGAGCTTGGGTTTGAAGGTCTGAGGGGTGCTGACTGCTTTGGTAACACCTTGTCTGTTGCAGCAATGATGCGGTTGTGATCTCGGGCAGGAAGCTGGCCCGGCAGATCCGGCAGGAAGCCCGTCACGAGGTCGAGCAGTGGGTAGCAGCTGGAAACAAGAGACCTCACCTCAGCGTTGTCCTCGTGGGTGAGAATCCAGCAAGTCACTCCTATGTGCTGAACAAAACCAAAGCGGCTGCTGACGTTGGTATGTCTGTGCTCTGCTCTGCCAAAGTGAACCTACTCCCTGTTTTATCTCACTTTAGCTGATGACAGATGCTGGGAGAAGCTTTTTGGGATGTTTCCATCTGGCAGCTTTCCGCCCCAGCTCTGTGGCAGTTGGTTTGACCCAGCATTTGCTTTATGACTCTTCTGTCTGCCTT